GTGAGTACTCCACACACAAACACCCACACACACACACAACCCCAATACACCTCCACCGTTTGTAAGTTAGAAAATAGGTCCTTTAATTAGTGCAGTGGTTCCAACCCTGCTCCCTGAGGAACACCACCCTGCATGTTTTAGTTGTTTCCTGCTCCGACACGCCTGATTCAGTGATTAAATTACTTCCTCAAGTTCCGCAGAAGCCTGTCAATCACCCATTCATTCAAATCAGGTGTGTCAAAGCAAGAAAACAACTAAAATATGCAGGATGGTGTTCTTCAAGGACCATGGTTGGGACCACTGAATTAGTGCACAGTGCCTAACAAAGTCCTCAGAGTTGTAACCTTTTGTTCACAGGTGGACGGACTCTTGCACCCTCTTAAAGAACGTAACAGGTGTAACGAGTAGAGCAAAGGAGTTTCCTAGGACTAAGTTAAGATAAATGTTTTGGAGATTGTCAGACATGATCGTGTCTATCTTCCAGTAATTGTGATGACTCAGCAGGTGACAGGACAGGTGAGTCTGCATTCTTGTGTGTATATGTGTGAGTGTAAGGGAAGCAAATAAAAGGTAGTGTGTCTACACAACAGAGAAAGCTGATACGATCACTTGTTCACAGCTGCTCTGTTACTGTAAGTAAAGTCCATCAGCTGCTGGAAGTCTTCCAGTCACGTTTAAAGCAGCCTAATGTTCTGCTAAATGAAACATGTATGTTTCGTGGCATACCAGAACCCCTCGTTTCAACAGTTCTGGACGGCGGAGCACAACGTGTTTGATGCTCAGGAGTGTGTCAAGCATGACAAAGTGCCAAATGCACTAAAACCTCGAGCAGCTTTAACTACAAACATGCTTCATGATGGCCTCACCTCTCAACCCACAACAACAGCACTGATCCTGCAGCTTAGCTGGAACAAGAGCCTTCACCGTAGCTGATATTAGCTTCATTATCTCTGCTGGTTAAATCATTCTTTGCAACCATTTTTGACTGTGTCATGATTAAGGTCCACCTTGCTAACTGTGAAACTGTAAAACCAGCAGACTAGATTTGTCATCACTTTCAGTGTATCATACTGTTGCTTATAAGTTAAAGTTTGATCAAAAATTACATCTTTTAGCAGCAGTCAATGAAAACAGACTGACTGCTGGGATGTCTTTGGGTTCCAGAAGCAGCTTAAGACTCAGAGACAATTTCCTTTGTTCCTCCGTGTATCCGATTAGATCGGTCTCGCTCCAGCTCTAAACACAGCATGGACAGTGTTACATCAGTTGATGATGCCGGCAAACGTGTTGATCGGTAGAGGAAGGGCTTTGCTCATGTATTTGGTGAGACCAGCATCCTTTTCTGCTCCCAAGCTGAATCTGGACCTGACAGTTTTCTGCACGCAGTATCCAGGATCCAGACAAGGGAAGATCTCAATGCTGAAAGACAAAATGGATCTAGATCAGACAACAATGTGTGGAAAGAGTCCGTCTCTAACGCTGGATGATGGGCTACACATTCAGGGCCATGCTGACCCCTGACCTTATAAAAATCTGTTACCTCTGCACGTCTTTGTAGGTCCTTCGACTCTCTCTGTCCAGAGTCAGAGTGAAGGATCGTCTCTCCAACGTACGAATTTTAACATTATTGGTCCGAATCTTTGATTCCTGCCAAGAGTCAAATGAATAGTTGCTACAGAAACCATATTATACATCACATCATATCTGAATCATGTTAAAGGGGTATATCAGCTATTTTAAAGTGGTGTTCTGCAAAAAGGTTATGATGGTAGGTTAACATTTCACCTTTTGTAAATGTCTCTTTAAACAAACTCCATTTGGTAAAATAAGTCCACACTACTATATACACACACAAAATACAAATCCTGTCAGAAACAATGACATACAGCCTTCTTTACACATCCCTCTATCACTTTGAGCAATAGAAACCAAAACAACAATGGAGCTGTATTATTTTATTTTTTTACATTTGTCTCACTTTAGCTTAATCCTTTCCCATCAAATTTTAGTTGAGCACTGAAATGATTAATAGGTGAGAGACAATTGTAAGCAATATCCAGGAAAGAAAACAAACAAACAAACAAAAAAAAAAAATCACCTTCTCTAACCTCTGCGCCACCACTCCCCGAAATAAAACTTTAAATAAAGACAAAAAAGGAAAGGTTTTGGGATAATGTTTACTTAAAACTAAAATTCTTTTAATTTAATAAATGTAATTTCTCACTCTCGAGAAAGACGGATGCTTTTCTTCCCTCTCCAGTCTCCCTCCTGCTTTTGCTCTCTGTCTTGTGTATTGGAGCTTCTATTTACACATCTGAATCGTAAATTACTGTCACAGATCTGGGCAGCTAGACTTTTAACGCAATTGATAAAATTTTTTCAACCAAGCGCCAGGGTCCTGGAGAACCCTCATGTCCCACTGAGACGCACACGGCAGGATACGTCATGGATCTGATGTGCCTTTCAGTATTGTCTTAGGAGGACCCCAAAGATGTTTATATAATTGGAATCATGATAGCAGGGTTTCTGCTTTTTGGAACCGTCTGATTCCTGTTATCGGCTATTAAAGAAGACGGCAGCAGCAGTTTCGACCATGGCAAAGCTGCCAAACTTATGTGAAGGTTTGGTTCGTGCTTCGAGCACTCAAACGCAGCTGATTTACGATCTCAACCGTAAGATGGAAGTAATTTATGAAAACCGTAGACCACTTGCGGCTTCTGGGACTTGCCAGCATGTTGGGGATGACCTTGGAGGGAGCTAATAAACACGGACCAGTGGAATGCCCACAAATCTGGCCATTTTGGATTAAAAGTACCAGTAGAACTCAAGGCTGACGAGAAATAACAGGCTGCCTGAAAAAAATTAACAACTGTGGCTTATCTGAATCTGACTCACCCGTTCGGCCTTGAAGCAGGCCAACTTATCGATTGGTGGCGCAGAGGTTAGAAGATGGGCTTGTGATCGGAAAGTCGCAGGTTCATCTCCCAGTACCGTCAACATCAAAATGTGGGTGGAAAAGGTGGAACACCCACACCTCCCTCCACCCTCAATCGCCCCACCCTGGGCCCCTGAGCAAGGCCCTTAACCCCCACCATCTGCTCCCTAAACAGGTCTCTCTTGAAAATGAGTTCTCGTGGCTCAATGAGACTACTTGCATAAATAAAGGGTAAATGAAAAAAAAGTGTAAACTAAGAAGGCTCTGTTCTATCCATCCCCTGTGCCCCCCCCCCCACAAATAACTACTGTGAACACTTATCAGATCTGTACCGGCTGACACCAACATCTTATCAGGACTATGGTCTATCTGGAAGTGCTTCATGGACAAATCTCCCTGTCTTGTCATCAAACTCATATGTAACGTGTCTATAAATGTGCTTGCTAGTAGAGTTTTTTGATGTCTTAAATTGTGTCCTGACAAGGGCAAGGTGTGAAGAGATCTTTTTTTTTTTAATACCACTATCCTTTCCTGATGGCCTTTCACCTTTTCTATCTAAAGAATAAAGGGCCGTGTTCTTAGGAGCACCAGCAACGTGCATCCTGCCCATCTTTCGGACGACTGTACGCACATAATCTCATTGTACTTCAGTGAAATGATAATAAAGCTTATTCTGATTTAATTTATCATTCAGTATTTCCCCTACCATTATACAAGGAGGGCGCTCTGTCCTTTCAACAGAATTGAGCGCCCTTCATACCGAACTGTCCCCTCCGCCCCCATCCCCGTCGACAACTTCCAGCATCGATGTAGAGCTAAGCTAACGGTGCACAATACAGACGTGCTAGCTAAAAAACTACAGAGGTAGCGCTCTGTCTCCCACACGCTGAGCCGTTTCCTTCTGTTGAAAGTAGTCTTCATGCAGCCTCTGCTGGATACATTGTACAATTACGTCTGGTTCCAGTATTTTAGGGGTGAAAATTAGAAGTGATTATATCGGCTCTTAATGGGACAATTATCACAGAGACTGATAGGTCCCCAAACGTCTATATCGGCCTAAATGATCAGTTCCACTGATATATTAGTCGGGCTCTACTAGAGATTACTAAGCATGACATGGCTCAGTTTGACATTTTACATTTAAGTTGATCTGTAATCAGGTTTCCTACAAAGGATGGAAAAACATTTGCTTTCTGATTTGAAAAAATGGGTTAACAACGACCGCCACTGGTGCTGTTGACAAACTGTGCCGGCGGAAATTGTGCTACTGTTAGCTGAAGACCATGAGGAGGGAAATGTGTCAGGAGACAGAGGGAGAAGTGGAAAGTCAAGAATGTAGAAAAAATTTCCTTTTAGACTTTATTATAACGAATGCATGTCAGATGTTAAGCAGCCTGTTCTTATGTTTTAAAAGTTTTTAAATTTTTGTTAAAAAAAGAAAAATAAGCTTTTGCTGTAAGTCACATGACCCAGAAGTGAATCAAACCCCTTTAAGAGACAAAAAATGAGTGTGGGGTGGGTGGAGAAAAACATTCAGTAATCCTGTTTGTTTATAGTTTCTGCAACTTGTCTACCTGGCGAACACGGTAACAAATGTTTAGTTTTCATTTTATTTTCCAACAGTACATTTGGCTATATGTTGAAGCCACACCCCAAACATTGCTCTTAAAAAGTGCCAGTTTGGTTATGGCTGCTTTTGAACTAGCTCATCAAGCTTGGCAGAAAAAACAAACCGTTTTTCCAAATTGATGTTCAAAAAAGCTACCAATAACTGGGAAGATATGAGTTCTTTATAACTTTAAAAAAAAAACACACTTCAGAATGGTCTAACGTTAAGTGTTCAACATTCCCATGGCGTTGCCGTGACTCACCACGTTCTGGCTTTTTGTCTTCGTTGGAACTTCGTTCAGCATCAGAGTCAAACAGTTCAAGTCTGCAGATGAAGGATCAGAGAGCACATGGAGCAGAGCGTTAAGAGACTTAATACAAAAAACATTCATTTAGGTTTTTGGGAGAACTTTGTGGACTAAACCAAATACTGAACCTTCTGCTTCATTGCAGGGAATGGCATCAATCACAGCGCCTGATGTTCTGACTGAAATTCCTACGTCAACGTCTCGGCCACTCAACGTCACCTGGACACAGAGGAAGAAACAACAGAAGTAGCGCACACGTAACACATTGTGGAGACAGATCATTTACTGGCACTACTTTTGGAATTTATTGAGACATCTGGCAACACCAAATCAGCTTTGACAGGAATCCTATGAGGAAGCAGCAAGTTTAACAAAGCAAAAAAACTCACCTTTTTGTAATTCAAACTGATAACAGCTCCGCAGACGTCACCAGAGTTCTTCTTTTTATCTGTTTGGGAGGATGAGGCATGTTGTCAGACATGATGGTGTGCCAAGAAAACAAAAATACACATAATAAGCAGGGCCAGCCCAAGGCATGAGCAAACTAAGCGGCTGATTGGTGCCCCGGGGCCACTAGGGGACCCCCTAAGTGGAATTGAATTATTTTTATTTTTTTATAGTAATGATTTCTATATGATTCTATTTAATATTTTAAGTTTGGCTTTTGCAAATTGTTGCATACATTTACATTGTTTTAAGAACTAATTATTCAACTTTAAATTTCTTTTTTTAAACCATTTTACATGGTTTCAAGTAATTGTTCATTTACATTATTTTAGTGTTTCCTTGATATTTTACTTTTTATTTTATTTAATTTTGTCTGTTTTTGCACAATTTATTTTTATGTGTCTATGTTATTTTATATGTTGTTTGTAGTTGATCTTGCACTACAAATTATTTTGAACATGACTGCTGCAGTTCTTTGGAACCAAAGATAATAAACCAGATGAGACTTTTGCTGCAAAATACATTGTATACTGGTGATTTATTGTTGTTGTTGTTACTTTTAGTACCACATATACATATAGGAAAATATAAACAGGGCTGTCAGAGTTGCAATGAGTTTATGTTAGGTGGGTGAATGATCTGATCATCTGACTGTTGATTGCAGTAATCCACATTATTAGAAGAAATAGAACGCGATTTTGGATCGTTAAAACAGATTTTAAAGAAGTTTTTTTCTCTCTCTGTACTCCGGTAAAGTCAGACGTGTTTTCCCGGCACTCCATAGCCCCCCCCACTTGCACTCTTTCATCCTGTGAACCCTTAAAGAGCCTCTTTTTTTTCTGCATAACTTCCTAAGTCGAAGGATCAGCTGGTCTCTCAACAAAATTGATCAACTTCTCCCGATAGGAGTCAGGGTAAGGACCCTCTTACTTTGACGAAAACAAATTGGATTCATGATGACAACTGTTTTTATTTGCTGTTTGGCTGGTGAAATCTGGATTGTCTACAAATTTGTGTGGATGTGTCAGACTGAATTATGTGCAGTTGCGTCAGAGCCAGAGCAGCTGTTATCAGGACTGTGGATTCTCTAGCAGCGTACATGAAGGTGGGAATAATCTTGGAGAAGCAGAGAGCTCGACTAAAGAATCAATTCGGCTGTTTGGAGTTTCCATCAGAGAACTGTACCAGCGAGATTTTAAAAAGGCAGAAACAGCACTTCACGAGTTCTGCCTGACCCAAACTGTGGCTTGACGGCGGACTTATCTCAACTCCTCCTGGCATGGTTAGAAAAAAGCAAAGATGTTTTGTCTGTCTCCACACCCCTCCCTTCCCCAAGGCCGTGGACATGTGACAGAACCTCAACAAAGCTGATGATAAATAACACCTCTTATCTGGACAATGGCTGAGAGGGGTTGCTCTGGACTATGCTATGACTTTCCCTTAAAAATTCAATGTCTTCACCGGCCTATACAGGTCCTTCTAAAAAAATTAGCATATTGTGATAAAGGTAATTATTTTCCATAATGTAATGATAAAAATGAAACTTTCATATATTTCAGATTCATTGCACACCAACTGAAATATTTCAGGTCTTTAATTGTTTTAATACTGATGATTATGGCATACAGCTCATGAAAACCCAAAATGCCTGTCCCAAAAAATTAGCATATCATGAAAAGTTCTCTAAACAAGCTATTAACCTAACCATCTGAATCAACGATGTAACTCTAAACACCTGCAAAAGATTCCTGAGGCTTTTAAAAACTCCCAGCCTTGTTCATTACTCAAAACCACAATCATGGGTAAGACTGCTGACCTGACTGCTGTCCAGAAGGCCATCATTGACGCCCTCAAGCAAGAGGGTAAGACACAAAAAGAAATTGCTGAACGAATGGGCTGTTCCCAGAGTGCTGTATCAAGGCACCTCAGTGGGAAGTCTGTGGGAAGGGAAAAGTGTGGCAAAAAAAAAAACGCTGCACAACGAGAAGAGGTGACCGGACCCTGAGGAGGATTGTGGAGAAGGGCCGATTCCAGACCTTGGGGGACCTGCGGAAGCAGTGGACTGAGTCTGGAGTAGAAACATCCAGAGCCACCGTGCACATGCGTGTGCAGGAAATGGGCTACAGGTGCCGCATTCCCCAAGTCAAGCCACTTTTGAACCAGAAACAGCGGCAGAAGCACCTGACCTGGGCTACAGAGAAGCAGCACTGGACTGTTGCTCAGTGGTCCAAAGTACTTTTTTCGGATGAAAGCAAATTTTGCATGTCATTCGGAAATCAAGGTGCCAGAGTCTGGAGGAAGACTGGGGAGAAGGAAATGCCAGAAGTCCAGTGTGAAGCACCCACAGTCAGTGATGGTCTGGGGTGCCATGTCAGCTGCTGGTGTTGGTCCACTGTGCTTTATCAAGGGCAGGGTCAATGCAGCTAGCTATCAGGAGATTTTGGAGCACTTCATGCTTCCATCTGCTGAAAAGCTTTATGGAGATGAAGATTTCATTTTTCAGAACGACCTGGCACCTGCTCACAGTGCCAAAACCACTGGTAAATGGTTTACTGACCATGGTATTACTGTGCTCAATTGGCCTGCCAACTCTCCTGACCTGAACCCCATAGAGAACCTGTGGGATATTGTGAAGAGAAAGTTGAGAGACGCAAGACCCAACACTCTGGATGAGCTTAAGGCTGCTACCTCAGCAGTGCCACAGGCTGATTGCCTCCGTGCCACGCCGCATTGAAGCAGTCATTCATGCAAAAGGATTCCCGACCAAGTATTGAGTGCATAACTGAACATGATTATTTGAAGGTTGGCGTTTTTTGTATTAAAAACACTTGTCTTTCATTGGTGGGATGAAATATGCAAATTTTTTGGGACAGGCATTTTGGGTTTTCATGAGCTGTATGCCATAATCATCAGTATTAAAACAATTAAAGACCTGAAATATTTCAGTTGGTGTGCAATGAATCTGAAATATATGAAAGTTTCATTTTTATCATTACATTATGGAAAATAATTACCTTTATCACAATATGCTATTTTTTTTAGAAGGACCTGTATGTGCATGTATACAGTAACATATATTTATGTTGCTTTGATGCCTCAAATTGTGCCCTGTCTAGGACACGGTGTCAAAGATCTTTTTTTATACCGTCTCTCCTCATGTTTTCTTCCCTTTTCTCATATAAGCAAAAAAATATTATTATGAATAAGAATAAGAATAATGAGGGCCGCGCTTTCATAGTAGCAGCGTCGTGCACTCCGTCCATCTTTCGGACGACTGTACGTACATGTTCTCGTTGTATTTCGGTGCAATGATAATAAAGTTTATTCTGATTCTGATTCTGAAAAGAGAAAAAAGAGAAAGGGAGGGGTCAGTGAAGAGCACTGGAGTTTAGCCTTTTGTCGTTCAGTGTCTTCAGTAGAAAGAGAGAGACACGAAGAAACAATAAAGCTGATAAATGAAAATGAGGTCGATAATTTTCATTTATCATGCGATTAATTGATTAATTGATTTATTGTTTATTGCGACAGGCCTACAAACAGGTAATGTGCTGAGTGTCCTTGAAATAGTGCTAGTTATCATATCTTTAAAGACCCTTATGGCAACTATTACGTGTAATTTTTTTCCGGCATTTTATTTTATTTTTGATGCCTGCAACTAATTTACTATAAGTTTACCACAGTTCGTACCTGTTCCCAGCAGTCATAGTGTTTACGCATTGGGAGAGGGTGACTATGAAAGCTGTTGTGAGCAGCATCCCCGATGGATCCCAGAGGACATGTGTGTTCAATAGTTAAAACATTAATGAAAACATTATTTTTTAAATTTATATTTTATTAATGGTGCGGATAAAACCATTTAGAGTTTTGTAAATCTTTGCATATAGACCAACACTGTTTGTTTCCATGTGCGTACAACATTTTCTAAACATTACAACTACAAAAGTGAGCGCGAACAACTGTAACTTTACACACATTGTTTGTCCTTATTTTACAGCATATTTGGTCATGTCCATGTGATTATGTCCATTTTACTGCATATATCTGGTATTACAGATTGTTAATGATGTGCAAATGTATACATATTCAAACCACTGAAAGTGGTGACAAAGTAAATACCGGTAAGTTGACAGAAGTTAACAAGTTCAGAGATGGTAAATTACCAGACAACTTGTTTCCAAAGAACAGAGCTGAATCTGTCACTCAGAAGAGATTGCACAAGGAATACCTTGAACAAAAGATACCGTACTCGATTCAGGAAGTTTACTGAAACCCTTGAACTGACTCTGGCTTTCTAAAGCCACCATTTACAAAAGGACAAATAAAAGTTCAGCTTGGTTTCAGGTCAGTCTCAGGTGGTTGTGGAGGGACTTGGTGGTGTTTAGGCACCATGTGTAGCTGACACAACAGTTGTCAGAGTTGGCCTTCCTCTCTACAAAGAAGAAATTATTTAAGAAATAATGGGTCAGACCTGTGTTGTTATTTAATGCCACCATTAAATATGAAGTACTGTAATTTATGTTTTTATTTTTATTTTTTTGACAGACTGACAAGCTTCATGCCACCAAAACATTTAGCCTCATCACACCTGGGTGCTCACACAGCTGCCAGTCTCTCTTGCGGGGTGGGTCCTCGTGACTTAATGAGACTACCTGTATAAATAATGTTAAAAAAAACCTGACCACTGAAGTTACCGAACAGGTCACAGGAGGAAGAAGAAGATAACAATCAATGACTTCTTGGTAGGCTACTGTTTTTTTTTTTTTTCAACCAGCCGTGTTACAGTCACTGTTCAGATAAAAACATTTACTGTACATATTTTTACTGTATATGTTACCGGTACGTATTTAATTAAAAGTAAAAAAAAATAAATCTCTGTGTAAACATCTCATGTTACAACATGGAAACCCGCAGCTTATAGACAAATGCGGCATACATATGTACAAATTTATTTTTCTTTTTAAATTAGTAGGCGTGGCTTGTATTCAGGTGCACTCAATAGTCTGGAAATTATGGTAATATGATTGCAGTGCTGTTTAATTCTTGTTTTTGCCCAACATTCTTGCAGCTTGTGTCAAAATATGTTCGGAACAGGTGGTTGTGCTTTAAAACTGACCATTTTATCAAGCTCCTGGTCACAACTTGTGCTGTATTCATATGAAGCTTACATGTCTCAATGAAGGAAACAAAGCTTTGTATTCATATTTCACCTCTAACTGAAGCTGAGATCTGTCTGAACTCTGGGAAGTCCAACTCCAGGTGGGTAAGGAAGACATCTTCCACAGGATCTTTTGTCTCATTGGTAAATGTAATCTAGAATAAAAACAGAAAAAACATCCAGAATACTCAGAATGCTCTTTGCATTGCTGGTCATAGACACCAGCTTCCACGTCATGTGACACTATGTGACATCACCTTCACAAAGTAGATGGTGAAGTAGACGGGCTGCTGGCCGGTGCGAACGTAGTAGGCAATGACGTCAGAGATGAAAGGGTCTTTTGGTGTCCCAGGGTTAAGCTGATGCTAAAGAAGGAAAAAAACTTGGTTGAACTTCAAACGTAGAAAATCAATTATACGTAAATTTACTAAGAATCACATCTTACAAAAAAGGTTCCAGCTTTAATTGACCTTAAAGGTCAGTTTGAACTGGATTTTGCTTTTTTACTGTAATGCTGTGAAGACAGCACTCACAGAATTACCATTTCTAAATAACGAAAACTCAAAATTTCCAAATTTTTCTGTCAATTTTCAGGTTCTCATATTCAAATATTTTACTTACATCAAGTACGTCGAACATTTATTCATGTATTTATTTTTACAGACTTTACGAATGGAATCATACCATTTTAGCCAGTTTATGAATGGTGTTGCCCAAACTGTTGACATTACTGTTGTACCACGGGTCCACACTGCTCAAGTAGGAGCCAAGAGTGCAGGAACTCCCCTTGGACTGATGAAGTTTTACCTGCGAATAAGGAACAACACAGATCAGACATCCATAATCTGCAACAGAAGTGTAGACATGAGGCAATAAGTTTCTTGTTTCTGTGGAGGGTACTCTACATGGTACAGAGAAAACAGTAGAGAAAGTGTTCAACTAAATACTGTATGAGCAAACACAACAGGCAATGGATTTATATCTCAGAAAAATAAATAAATACAGTTAGTTTCAAAGTATTCACTCCCCTTGGTATTCTCAGTTTTGTTCCCTTCCAACCTGGAATTTAATGGAATTTTTAATTGATTATAAGTAATTTGCCTACAAATAAAACTCCATGTTAATAAAGTTAATCAGGGATAAACTTGTTTTAAAACATTCTAAGAATATAAAACTTAAAGGTGGTGTGTGTATAACAGCATGTAATCACCCTATAAGCTCATAACCTTCAGAAGCCATAGAATTAGTTAAATTAGATCCAGCTGTGACAGACAGCATGAAGACCAAGGAACTCTCCACCCAGATCAGACAACGTTGTAAAGAAAAACTGATCAGGGTTGAGTTATAAAATGATATCCCAGAACCTCAAACATCCCAGAGCTGCATTAAATCCATTATTAAGAAAGAGGATGCTACCACAGAAAAGTTGGGATGGGAGTATTTGTCCATAAGTTGCACAAAGCTGGGATTCATAGAAGAGCGGCTGGAAAAATTATTATAACCATAAATTCTTTAGAAAACAAAGTCATTTCTTAGATAAACTTATAGAAGGTGTTGTGGTCAGACGAGACAGAAATCCACCATTTTGTCCATTAAGGACAGTACTATGGTTCAAACCATGCTGAACACACATTTCCACCATGCAGCACGGTGGTAGCAGCATCATGCTGTGGGGATGTTTGCAGAATGCATGACAATGACCCTATTGTAGCAACACCACTGCATAAAGGACAGTTTCATGTCCTGGCATGTTAAAGTCAAAGCTCAGACCTCAGTCCAGCTGAGAATCTCTGACTTGAAGATTACTGATAACTGCTGTAGAAGGTGGGAGACATATACACACCCCTCACCAATAATGACCCCCTCTGCCATTTAAGCACATTATCCTGAAGGATAATGATTCCATCCATCCATCATCCTCCGCTTGTTCTCAAGTCAGGTCTCGGGGGCAGCAGCTTGAGCAGGGAGGTCCAGACATCTCTTTCCACAGCCACCTCTTCCAGCTGTTCTGGGAGGACTCCAAGACGTTCCAAGGCCAACCGTGAGACATAGTCTCTCAAGCGTGTCCTGGGTCTTCCCTGGCGTCTCCTCCCAGTCGGACATGCCCGAAGCACCTCCCAAGGTAGGCGTCCAGGGGGGTCCTTACCAGATGCCCAAACCACCTCAACTGGCTCCTCTTGATGTGGAGGAGCAGCAGTTCTACTCTGAATCTCTCCTGGATAACTAAACTTCTCACCCTATCTCTAAGAGTCCAGCTACCCTGCGGAGGAAACTCATTTCAACCGCCTGTATCCACAATCTCATTCTTTCAGTCACTACCCAGAGCTCGTGACTACAGATGAGGGTAGGAACGTAGACAACCAGTAAACAGAGAGCTTTGCCTTACAGCTCAGCTCCCTCTTCACCACAACGGACTGGTACAGAGTCCACAGTACTGCAGATGCTGCACCAATCCATCTGTCAATCTCACGCTCCATTCTTCCCTCACTAGTGAACAAAACCCATTCATTACTTACAATCATGTTGCAAACCATTTAAATCTGAGGTTGAAAGGCAACAGATTGACTTGTCCTCAATAAATGGCTTTGTGCTGAAAAAAGGAAGTTGCCTCACCTTAGCCGAGGAGACGGGAGCAGAAGCTGCACGGACAGGAATGTAGTAAAACTGGAGGTTGACTTTCATGGTAAGACAAAGCCGTCGTGCTTCTCTCTTCCTGCAAAAGGCCAAAGTGTGAACTCACAAAAAGCTCCAAACTTGCAGAGCCGTCAAAACTTAACTGTTTTGGCAATTATGGCAAGAAGGTGTTGTATTTCAATTAATCATATGTGAAGGAAAAAAACAGTTTTATCTCACACATACAAAATAAAAAATCTAAAAATTCAGCTCAGGTGGTCATTCATTCTAAATATTAAAGTAATGCACATGTATCTGTGTCGAGCAGTAATACAGATTTACACTGAGTAATATATTCAGTCCAAACAACCAGTTGCAGTCTGAAGCATGACAGATACTTTCAGAGCAGCTTCATGGGTATGCGGCGTCTTGTGACATAAAGGGTCTTACCTGTAAAGGTAATAGGCCTTAGCCAGGTGGCCCAGCACCCGGTCATCCCCCATTACGACTATCCTGGCAGTAAAGTGTCTCTGCTGCTTAGGGAAGTGGCTCTGCATCATGCTAGTTCCTGTTTGCCTCTGGAGGGGGGGCCTTCTTCCCTTCCCTCTAACTCCTTGGCTTGCTTGGTCCTCCAGTGCATCCTGCATGAGCGCTATACCATCCTTTGCAGTCAGTCTGAGTTTAATGCATGGTCGCCGAGACAGCCTCACTGGGTCTTGTTCACTGGGAGGGAGAGAAGTCACATGTCATGTTCCAGGTTCTGGATCAGTTGAATATGACAGAAGTCCAGGAAACTGGAGCTGAGCTTCACATGAACTACAGAACTTCACTGACGAGTCCAAGATCAGAAAACCAAATAATTATTTTTCAAATGTTCTAGAACAGGGGTGGGCAATTATTTTTTCCATGGGGCCACATGAGAAACAGCAAATATTGTGGAGGGCTGGCACAAATGACTTTTTCATTCAACCTTTATTTAGACAGGTAAATCCCATTGAGCCTCGAGGACTCATTTACAAGAGAGACCTGATTTCAACTTAACTCAATACTGCATAATATTAATAGTATTTCATTATTAAAAGCAGTACATAGTACTGTTTTAACAAGCTGGTAAGAGTATTTGTTATGATTAAGCAACGAAAAAGCGAGGTTTCCTTACAAAAAATGTCATTTATTCAATTAAATTTCCCAGTACAATGGTAAACTGTTAACAATTTTACCATTTGTGACGTTATATTAATGACCATTTTCAGTCACATTCACCCCAAAACTCATTTTGAGTTTTATATACTGCTGGAAAAAGTTCTTAGCTTTGTAAATATATCACAATATTGTCTTTGTACTCCAAATATTATGAAACATCATATAATAGTGATCGTCACTGAACTGTGATTTCGAGTCCCGGTTCTTTACGTGCCTACATTTGTAGTCTAAACATCTCATTTGGTGTTTATCAGTTCTTTTTTCTTGTTTAGTGAGAGAAGTTTAGTCTCTGTTGGGCTTTAACGGAAATGTTAAAGTCAGGTTCAAGGTCTGAGGTGGAGATGTGAAGCAAAGCTGACATCATCATTGAGAGAGGATCTATATCTGGATTTGGTTAACTTCATTTGTTTACATATGTATTTTGTAATTCCCCTTACGGGGGCCAGTGAGAGTCAACCAAAGGGCTGCATGTGGCCCTGGGGCCGTACAACGCCCAGGTCTGTTCTAGAACCTCAGATTATCAACACATGACAAAATACACAGAACCACTGATTACTGGTCTACATTCAGTCTGTCTGTCCATCATCCATCCATCATCCATCCATTCATTCATCCATCCATTCAT